CATATACTGTGGATGTTACCTTGTTAGGTGCTGGATTTTACTGTATTCCTTTAAATACTGTTGCTCTTTATTCTGGGATACAGTTAAGTTACTTGAAATCACTTCATCCTTCTGAGATTTTTAAAGCACTTTGAGGGCAAGCAGAGAACAGCCTTTAACGTAGGGCTTCTCTGACCCAGGAGGTCTCTACCCAGCACCGCACATCTGGCTGAAAAGAACACAAACTAGGCACGGCCTTGGGTTCCAAGAATTGTCCCAAATGCTGCTTCCTGGTGGTCCTCTCTCTGGCCTCAGTAGCTTCCTCAAACACATGCAAAGATCAGTAAGCAGCCAAAGACTTTGAGGCCTGTTCTGCAGATCTCTGGAGTTCTTCCTCTGTGTATCTTATCCCTCTCCGGTATATTTTCTAGCAAATTCTAGAAATCTTGCCCTCCCCAAGTTTTAATGCTACTGTCTTCTGAATTCAGTAAAGTACCAGGATTTGCTGGGCTCCCCATCCTTGCACCGTGGCTTAGAGACCCTGAGCTAGGTCACAGTTAGGAAGCACTTTGTTTCCTTCCACTCGGGGATTACTGCCTGTCCTGTGCAGCCTATTGTCCAGGGTCTGAAAATCCATGCTTCTTATATTTTGTCTGGTTTTAGAGTTGTTTAACGCAGGAGAATAGCGGGTCTCTATTATGATTGTGGTCCGAAGTTAAAGTCCCCATAGCATTTTGTTGTCAATCCTCATACGGTACCTTCTCACTTTTATTGTTGTTATTTTTCTCTAATCACTCATTTTCTTCACCAGATTGTAAGCTCTTTGAGTCCAGGGACTAGGTCTTGTTTATGAATAATATCCGGTATATAGCAAGCACTAGAGAAGTCAAGTGACTAAAGAATGGGCAGACAAAGGTTGATAAAAGAAATGAGATATAAAGGTGCTCTGAGTAGTCTGAGGACACTCTTTCAACTGTGAAACTTGTTTATCTGGTCGTGGGCTGTGATTCCCTAGTATTCAGACTCTGGCCGGACCACAACCACCAGGAACATCCTTGCCAACAAGAGCCCAGTGTCACTCTGACAACCCAAGTTCTTGAACCCTGGCCACTTCCCATCAGACCTGTCTACTAAAGAGTTAAGAACTGGCTCTAATTAGGCAGCATTAATTCTCTAAGACAACAACCTCACCAGGTGTAATGAATACTTTGGCTATAAAACTCTTAAGAGAGCAAAACAGCATTCCCCAAACAGCATTGATTTTAGAGTCCGAAAGACCTGAAATCTGAATCCTAAGTGTGCTGCTTCCTTGCTGTGCCAACTTAGACAAGGTGCTTGACCTATCTGAACTTTAGTTTCCTTATCAAATGGGGATAATATATAGTATCTTCAATATATGAAGAGAACCCAGTATATAGTCAACCCTTCATAAATGATAATCAGTATTGTCGATTTAATTAGGATCCTTTAAGCAAGGATAGAAATCAGCTAAAATGAATGATGAGAAATCTGTACAAAAATATTAGTGGCCACCTGGTAACACTACCTCCAGGGAGAACATTTACTTGGAGGCCAACCAGTGTGCGAATATGCACTGGTCAGGACGCTTTGCCTAATAATTATAAACCGCAGGCTGAGGAATGCCAAACAATCTGTTTTCTAGCAGACGGGTGGTTTCTTCTAGAGGTGTACCTGTATATATGTCTGTTTGTCACACAGAGAACCGCAATCACACCGCAGGTACCACAAAAAAAGTTGGTAGGTACTGGGACACCTATGTTGGCAGAAAGAAGAGAGTGAAGGTGTGTTTGGTGGGGAAAAGTGAGGGAAAATGGGCACAAAGAGCATGAGAAGATGAGTGGTCTCCAAGCTCACACAAGATGCTAATAGAATTTTTCACCAAACTACTAGGTCTCTTTCTTAACATATACTTATCAGAACTTTTGTAAGAAGTAGCTTAAGGCTCAGAACTTTGAACAAACTGAGATTTACTTGTTTATTTTTAAAGACTTTTATTTTATTTATTTGACAGAGAGAGAGACAGCGAGAGAGGGAACACAAGCAGGGGGAGTGGGAGAAGGAGAAACAGGCTTCCCGCCGGGCAGGGAGCCCGATGCAGGGCTCGATCCCAGGACCCTGGGATCATGACCTGAGCCGAAAGCAGACACTTAATGACTGAGCCACCCAGGTGCCCCTGAACAAACTGAGATTTAAAAGAGAGCCATCGAGGGGCGCCTGGGTGGCTCAGTCGTTAAGCGTCTGCCTTCAGCTCAGGTCATGATCCCAGTGTCCTAGGATCGAGCCCCGCATCGAGCCTGCATCGAGCTCTCTGCTCAGCAGGAAGCCTGCTTCTCCCTCTCCCACTCCCCCTGCTTGTGTTCCCTCTCTTGCTGTGTCTCTCTTTGTCAAAAAAATAAATAAAATCTAAAAAAATAAATAAAAGAGAGCCATCGAAATGCTTTAAGGAGTAAATATGAAAGGTTCAAAGAAAGTTTAAGGAACAAATTTTTTCAGCTTAAGGAAGTGAAGATTCAGGAGTAGGTGACTCCCAGAGGTGTGCTAGTGCCAAAAAGAAAAAAAAAAAAAAAAAGGAAGGGAGGGGTGGTCATCTCTTCTCTATCTCTAGTGATGAATAAAATGAAAGGGAATAGGCTCAGTTGTGGTGGAAGAGGCCAGTTCTCATGGCTAAACAATTTTCTAAGGGATGTAGTGAGATTTCTTTTCCTGGAAATCTTCAAAAACAGACTAGATGTGTACTTTTCTAAGTATAACAGAGGTACCACATTGCTGAGGCGCACTCTTGGAGTACTCCTTACTCTGCGTCCACCCAGGGGCACCAACGACAAAGGGCTCAAGCTTCTCTCTTAAAACCGACCACAAGTGAGCAGAGAGTGAGGCCGGGTCTGGCTGGAGACCACACATCTGCTTTCACTTTGAAAGAGCCACATGCAGAGTGCTGGGCTGCGGGCTGGTTCCCCGGAGTGCACAGCTATGTGGGAGGAGGCCTGGCTGCGAGAGGTGTGACAGGTTACAGGGGTGCTTATGGCAACAAGGAGAAAGTTTTCTTTACAAGGTGACAACTAGAACACTGGCCTATGATAGATAGAAAACAATGGGATTTCCAAGCTGTCTATGAAAAACAAAATCTGAATCTAAAGCTATGATGATCTTGGGGCGCCTGGGTTGAGCATCTGCCTTCGGCTCAGGTCATGATC